TCTGAGGCTGAGAGTGTGTGACATGCCCAGGGTCACTTACTTGGCCAGGGTCACATACCCCAGAATGCATCACCTAGTATATTGGCAGTCCTTCCCCCCAACACTTTCTCATTTTCCCCCATTGGAAGAAGGGTTGTCTTATACAGCGAGTATATCCCAAACTCTATATTTTAACTGGAAAAGTTGGGGGGGGCTTATACGACCAGTCGTCTTATATCTGAAAATCTACTGAAGAAAAAAAATCAAATTATAGTAAAAATGGTGAGGGATGTGAAAAATTGTCCAGTTTTGCTCTTCTCAGGACACACATCCTTTTTTTAACCCCATTTGGGACTGAGAGACACATGGCTCCTTGTGCCTTCAAGTTGCCTGTAGGCTTATGGTGACCTGATGCATTTCATAGGGTTTTCTTAGACAAGGAAGACTTGGAAGTGGTTTTGTCAGTCAGTACCGGGTATTTGTTGGCTGTTGCCCACTGAAGTACTAACCAGAGCTGACCCTTCTTAGCTTCCAAGATCAGATGAGATTGGTGCTTTTAGGATATTTCAGCTCCTAAACCAAGGATTTAATCAGTTTTGATGGGTGTGCTCTCAGCATTCAGAATGTGGTCTGATTTGTATCAATCCAGATTATGTTCAGCCAATCCACTTCATTATGTACAAAGAGTCTTAATACTAATGTTTCAGGCATAACAAGTGTGCCCACCATGTACATGGGTGAGGGTGGGATTAGCACGAAATTAGATGGCGCAGAAAGCAATTATAATACTGGCCATAAACATCATGGTACCAATGCTATATTTTCAGGAAAGCCTGGCTTGGGATGCCTATTTATGGACTGGGGATATGGGCAATGGGAAGGAGGGTTTCCTGTAAGTGACTCTTTTGCTGCCAGATCCCTCCCCAAAACAGTGGGAAACAGTGGCTAGAAAATATCTATTACAAGTGGGGAAGTGGTGGAATAGTTCAGAATTAGGGATATGAAAGGGAGTCTGTAGGGTTGTAGAGAACCCGTGTAGTATAGTGGTTTGAACATTGGACTATGACTCTAGAGACCAAGGTTTGAATCCCCACTCGGCCATGAAATCCACTGGGTGACCTTGGGCAAGTCACATGCTCTCAGCCTCAAGAGAAGGCAATGGCAAACCTCCTCTGAACAAATCTTGCCACGAAAATCCCATGATCTTAGGGTCACCATAAGTCGAAAGGACTAGAAGGCACACACAACAATGTAGGGTTGTCCCTCACCCCTGGATCTTCAACAGCTGAATGACAGGCAGAACTGCAACTGACAAGTTTTCCTGAACCTGAAAAACTGCACATTTAGTTTCTGCCTGTCACATACTGGGCAGGGAAGGGAGTAGGTGCTTTCAGACAGCAGCCTTTTAGTGCTAACTGGGTTTTGCCTATCTGCTTTTCATTGCAACACAGAAAGCACTGTGGACATTTTAACTCTCCCTCCCCTTCTGATCTCCTGTCATACCCTGTCAATGCCAATGGTAAGCACATGCAGGATGTAGACAAGCTACACCTTTTTTTCTCTTGCCTTTCCCTACTCTCTCTAAAGTTTTCCCCCTTTCAAGCATTCACAAGTGTGGATACCAGATGATGACCAGCCAAAATAGGGCTCCATGCCACAAATGAAGAGTAATTATACCAAATCATGCACTAATGCAGCAGAAATCAATGCAAAATGTTTGGCATTGAAAGTGCCAGCAGCATTTCCACACATCGAAGGTCATCCTTTGGAGAGCCACAGGATCCTTTGTTTACTGGATCTTTTCTTTATTACAGTCAAAGACCAGCATCAGTATAAAGTTTAGCACAGA